AAAGGCAGTTTTAAAAGGTGAGAAAAGAATCCTACTCTTCTGGAAAGTTCCCAGCGCTGTTTGTCCAGTTTGCTCTCCTGGAGATAGGGAAGAGCAGGGTCCCTGTGATGGGAAATGAGCCGAGTGTGTTTGCTCTGTTCCTCCTCTAAGGCGATCTGGGCCGTTCCAGTGCTGGCTTTTGTTTCGTTTTGTTTCTCAAAGATGATTCTCAACACTGGAAATGTGGTCCCTGGTTTATAACGTGGGGAAACTGAGAACATATATAAGTTCTTAATTAGAACTTCCAAAGCTCTCTGTCAGGACTCGGAGGAAATCTTTCTGTGTATCAGGTACAGCGAAGTTGTTGGAGAGTTCACTGCACATACGTGTGCGGGTGGAGACATGCGAACTTGAGTGAGTTTTCGATCCTTTCTTCCCCGCAGACTCTTCTCTGGGCCCCAGTCCACGCCCAGGGGCTCATTCTTGCACGTTGAGCCCTGAATCTTTTATTTCCTTCGTTAATAAAGGCAGAACATGGACGTGATCTATGACCACATCTGTCGCTCACTGTTGTCTTTGGAGGTTAGTCATGAACTGAAGGCAGGCATTTTATTTTTAATGTGTTCTAAAAACAGATCCCTTTTGGGGAAGAGCAGATAAGCCACATCCTGTGGTCTCAGGAGTGGAAGGCAGGCACCTTCTCCACTGCTGTGTGTCTGCCTGGAGGTGGCAGCCCGGGGTCCTGCCACACGAGTCCCTTCCGCACGCGGGGCCTGGCTTCCACCAGACGCCCTGCACAGATTTCCCTGCTGCTGTTTGGTTCTTCTGCCCCCGTGTCTTTGGGGTGTGGGCCCGAGGTGCGCGTCCTCGGCCTGAGCGAGCCTGGCGTGGCCCACAGCAGCCCGTGGCCCGAGGACTAGAGGGCAACGGGTGTTTGGCTGTTTTAAGAATTCATTCAGTTCTGCTGTTTTTCATCTTTGCTGATTCCTTTGTGCAATTTGCCTGCATACTTATACCCTCGTGACAGTGTGGTCGTGCCCCAGGACGAGTATTTGAGAACTGGGCACTGAGGCATGATTTTAGGATTTAAAATTTTTTATTAGAAAAGGTATCAAATGTTCATACTAATTCCACTTGAGAAGAATATTAGAGAAATACCAAAAAACCAAAGACTTAGGTACATTATAACATAAAACCAGAATGTTATTTATAACAGTGAGAAAGAGGAAATGGTCTGAAGATTGATGGATTATACCAAATCTAGAATCATGTTTTTAAAGAAAATTTAATGATCTGGATAAACAGTCACGAAGCAATAAATGGAAAGAGCTATGCATCATTGTTACGAAGTATGACTCTAATGTTGTAAATGTACAGTATATTTTTATTATGTGTATATAAATGTATATATTTCCATATATGTATTTTGAAATAAGGTAAAGGAAAATATGCCATTAAATTAACAGTTTTTCTGGTTGGAAAGACAGTTGGGAATTTTTTTTCCCTCGTTTTCTTTTTTTCCCTCGTTTTCTTTTTTTCCCAACTTTTCTACAATGAATGAAGTGAAATGAGAGTATTTTAGCTTTGATAATTTTAGGTGAATTAAACTATTAAAAATTCAAGTAAGCCTGCTGTTGGTGATAGTTAGACATGTTTGAATGGACATAATCTTTCTGGGTCGCATTGCTCGGGCTTCATTACAGTCTAGTGTGTCTTACACATTTAATCTGCTTTCTACCTTTTTGGATTGTGCTCTTCAGGTTTCAGGGGAATAGAGCCCAGGAGCTGGGCAGGGTGTGCCCTGTCACAGGCTGTTCCCCTGAGGGTGTGGCCATGTGACAGTTTTTCCATCTAGGTCTTGTCTGGTGACCTAACTTGTGCTCTTCGGTAGAGGCGCCTCCTGTGCAGTGAGCATCTCCCCGAGGTCCCTGGGTCGGATGCTCTGAGGGTCTGAAGTCTAATGTCACAGTGGCCCAAAGGAGTTTGCAGGCATTGGGGATAGTTCCTTTCAGTTTTCTGAACTGGACTCTCAGAGCTTGGGAGAGGCAAGGAAGTGAGCCAGTGCGAGTCAGCTGGGTTTCGCGGTGTGTGCAGCGCCCCCGTGCGGGTCTCCTTTGCCTCCTTCAGGACTTTGGCCTTGTCATGTCGCCCGTGAGCCACCTGCGCCTCACCAGAAAGAAAGACACATGCATTATGCTCAGGTCCCACTCCCTGCTTCTCAGAAATGATGGGAGTTGAGGCAGCCAGGCTCCATAGCCCGAAACTTTTATACTGCTGAACAGTATCCGGTTTGGGTTGGAAGGTGATGAAGAAATTAACACATTTGTACGTAATCTGGTTTAGGAGAAAATAATATGAGATAAGATTATTCAGTAATTTTAAAGTACCGAATAGCACTCTTTTCTTAGACAACAGTAGAGAAGCACATAGCGCAGCCTCTCGGAGCTCGCCCCCCTGTCCGTGCCAGGCGCCAGGCCCAGTCCGCGTCCTTGCGCTGGCGACCCCTCCTCTTTGCAGGTTCACGTGCCTGCATGACGTCATCATCCTCATCGCCACTGTGCCGGGGAACTTGACCTTCATTTCCATGTTCTGCTCTGTTCTTAGAGGCTTCCGAGTGAAGACCTCACCCAAACCCCTTTCCACTGATACGACTCTCTTGATTTTTGACAGTTTCCTGAGAGGCTCTACAACTTGGGAGACTTTTTCCACAAACATGTTAAAAGATCGACTATTTGGCCCTAGCCAGTTTGGCTTAGAGGTTAGCGTGTTGGCCCACAGACTGAAGTGTCTCGGGTTTGGTACTCGGTCAAGGGCACGTACCCGGGTTGCAGGTTTGAGCCTCAGCCCTGATCAGGGTCGTGCAGGAGGCAACCAATCGATGTGTCTCTCACACATCGATATTTCTCCCTCTCCCTCCCTCACTTCCACTTAATCAAAAAATCCATGGAAAATATCCTCAGATGAGGATTAACAACAACAAAAAGAGCAGATATTTGACACTTGAAAAAATGTAAGTATTGTCATAAGCATTTGTCGGGAAAGAAACACCACCATGTTTGTCTCGTGGCAGATAATCATTCCCTCGTGTATCCACTGAATGTGGGCCACGTCTCATCCCGTCCCTGTGACGAGCTCTGCTCTGGCAGCCCGGCAGCGCAGGCCCCGGAGCCTGGTGGAGGCTGTTGTGCCGCCGACCCTCCATGTGGGGCTCAGCGGGACTGTCTCATCCCCTTCCCGAGCCGCACGAGGGTGATGCGCTCTGCACCTCCCACTTCTTGATAGAGCTAGGAACCCATTTTAATGTTTCTCTTTTTATAAATGCAGTGAAGAATTGGCCTGCTTTTCAGTGTCCTCGCATTAACTTTCTTAGCGTGAGTCTATTTTTTTTTATCCTCACCTGAGGATAGTTTTGCATTTATCTTCAGATAGAGCAGGAGGGAGAGAGAGAGGAAGAGAGAGACACACACATCGACTGGCTGCCACTCACACGACCCCAACCAGGGCTGGAGACAATCGCAACTGAGGTATGTGCCCTTAGTGGGAACCGAACTGGGACTTTCTGGTCCTCAGGCGATGCTCTAACCACTGAGCAATACTGGCCAAGGCTTAGCGTGAGTCTTGAGAGGGTCACCATCGTGCCTCCGATGGGGAACCCACCTCACGGATGTCGGTCAGTTTCCACTGGGTGCATGTTTCTGTCAGCTGTTGCTCTTTTCCTTTCTTTTTTAGAATAACTTCATCATTTTCTAAGAAAACTGTCATATACGAGAGAGTTTTTTTTATTCCAGGTTGCGTCGTTGGGGACCATGCTTTCTCCTCCACCTGCCAAACCTCCCTAATGCCCATTGCTTTGGGGGAATCATGTGCCTCATTTTTCGCATTGTGAGGGTTCTCTCCTTGGCCTCCGAGGCTCTTCGCCAGCCCTTCATTTGGGAGTAGCTACATTTAGGACTTCTTTTTTCTTGTGGCTTTTGGAGAAGTCTCCTTTGTGATTCTCACCATCATCATGCCTGTCGCTGCTTCTGTCCATTAACGTCTCTGATCTCAGTGACTTCCATCACCTGTGGGCTTAAATGTTTTGTTATTGCCACTGTCTCCAGAAGTCCATCCGTGTAGAAGGCGCAGAATGTTCTACCTAAACATTCTTTTAAAAAGATGTTGGTTACCTCCGATCTTTTAAAATATTAATCTCCCTTTGAAATTCCAGATATTTTCCCACTTGTGAACTGACCTGGACTTTTACACTCAATACTGTGTTGAAGTCTCTGAAACCTCCCCGATGGACTTAGATGAACGTCATCACCCCCGGGGAGGGGGGCACCTCCAGATGGTTTTTCTGACTCTTTTGTTTTGTTTTAGCTTTTCCCTGAAAGTTGCTCTTTAGTTGAAAGTGTAACATTATACATTGCGGAAGGAAACCAGGGAGGTAGCGTGAGGACCCATCAAGGGCAGCGATTTCTGAGCACACGAGGGTTCTTCTGGCGCCTTTGCCTGGCGCCCCCTGGCGGCTGCGCAGCGAGCCGGGAAGTGGGGGGCGAGGCGCGGGCCTGGCGCTCTGCTGAACTGGAAACTGCTCCGGGTGCCAGAGCTTTCGGTGACCAGTCCCGCTTTGGAAATAACACTTCTTCATCTTTTCGTTCTTTTCACTTTTCCCGCAGCCTGGTTCCGCAGAGGGAAGGAAGGAAAAGGAATGCTTTGCAGCAAATGCCCTTGCTGGCATTATGGTACTCGTTGCTCGCTGCTTCCGCCCCGCCCCCTTCTTGTTGGTGTTGGTTTTTATTTATTTATTTATTTATTTATTTTGCAGAACTGAACCTTTTTCTGCTCTGCCTCTCTCTCCTGTTTGTCTTTATGGTCGGCATTGTACTATCTGTTCCAAAGTATGTGTCATTAAAGAACTATACAAAGTGTCTACTTTTTAGCATGCCAGTATGTTTTATTATGCTGCCTGCCTTGTCTTTGATAACTATGTATGGGGCACTTGAAAACCTCCGTGGTAAAATCCTTCTTTTTTCCCGTAGTCCCTCCATTTCAAGGACTAACACAGTCTTGCGTTAAGTAGAAGCCTGTGACCAGAGCCGAGGAAGACTCTAGGAGCACAGCTGCCACAGGACTTTCACAGTGTGTTTGGAAACAAAACAAAGTTGCAAAGGCCTTAGCTTCCTACCTAAGAAGTCTGTTCAATGAAGACAGTGTCCACTGGAGTTGAAATAACGGCACGCGCTCGGGTGCAAGGCCGACTTGAGGACACGCCAGCTGTCCTCTTGTAGAAGCGTCTCAAGTTGAACGACAAAAAAGCTGTTGTAAATGTAGTCTCAGGTGTAAATACCAGAGCCCTCTGTCGTCAGGAGGGCTGACTGCCCCGTGGTGCATGTGTGTCCCTGTGATGGCAATCACGCTCGCTGCTGGCCTTCAGAGGAGTCGCGGGTCTGCTGGAGGTCCCTTACCTATTTATTTTCTGTTCGCCCGTGTCCAAATGTACAGAGCTGAAACGGGCGTGGCTGAGAGGGTACTTTCTGTAATCGGATACTGTTCGGTGTGACCGTCGTCACGCTGGTATGTGTAATGTTGTGTCGTAACGTTCACTATTAAGTCCCCAAGCTGCTTGTGTCCCACCAAAGAGTGCTTTATTGACAAGGCCCCGTGAAGGCCCGGGTGAAGACTTGCGTGTTGTGACCCAGCGGCCGTGAGAACGGTCACCGAAAACGTGCAAGAGCCCATCAGTAGTAGCTTCAGAGGACTCAGGAGGAGAGATGGCCCCGGAGGTGGAAGATTGTTGCAAGTTACTCCTTCAGGGGCTGAAGAATTCCAAGGCTGCCCGGGTATACGAATTAAGATCCTATTACCTTCTGTGCATGAACAAATAACACACTTTTGGTATTTTTCCTTGGAAACAGTGATCCCAAATAATGGTGGCTTTTTTTAAAAATCGCTGCTTTATTAGGGTCTTTCTCTGTAGCATTGTGGACATTTCTGTTATGTGATCAGCCCGAGGCCATTTGCACACCCTTTGGTTTCGGTGAGTTATCCGCATCTGGATTTCAGCTGTTTGTACATAAGACACTCACTGTTGCCTTCGGTTAGGGAACCAAGTCTTTGCAGAGTGCCTTCTCCCCGCCCCGCCCCCTCAAACACGGCGGAGTCTGTGATGTACGGTAATCACAAAAACAAAGTTTATTTGCTGCTAAAAAAAAAAAAAAAAAAGATAAAATGGGGCCCAAAATAAGAAAATATTTTTTAAAATATTTTGAAGTGAATGGCTTTAGTTATTGTTAACCATTGTTGGCCTATGCTAGTTTGGAGAATGGGGGTACGGTGTTGAAAGGCAAAATGCCTCCATTTTTCAAGGGGAATCAATCAGGTCAGTAGGCAGTTCCGTTTTTTAAGCTGCCTTTTAAACAGAACTGTGAGGAATAAGAAGTAGTTGGTATAAGCATATTAAAGTTTTTGTTTTTGTTTTTTTTCTTTTATTGATTTTTTTAGAGAGGAAGTGAGAGGGAGACAGAAATAGAAACATTGGTGAGAGAACATCAACTGGCTCTCTCCTGCATGCCCCCCACTGGGGATCGGGCCCACAACCTGGGCATGTGTCCTGACCGGGAATCGAACTAGTGACCTCTTGGTGCAGGGTTGATGCTCAACCACTGAGCCACACCGGCCAGACCAGCATATTAAAGTCTTAATGCAAAAATAATTGGATGACCTTGGCTCCATTTGGTATTTACTCTCTTGGAGTGATTGTGAGGTCGACTAGCTTTGGGGGGGGCCTGAAGATGCGGTGGTTTTGACCAGACAAGCAGTTTTTCCCCGTGAGGGACTGTGGGGGTCAGGTCACACCAAACATTGGCAACTAGATCTCAGAGAAATAGAGATTTTCTATCCCTGGAAGTTCATAGACACAAAGACCGACTTCTGATGAGAAGACTGCTTTTCAGGGCGCTTTGGGTGGCCGGGGAAACGTCCCGTTTGCTGTGTTGTGCTGGGAGACACAACTAGACCCTCAACTGCCCAGGCACAAACAATTCTCAGGGCATCTTCTTCCCTTTATACTTCCAAAGGCCGTCTCCTGCACACAGTCAGTTGTGAAAATCAAATTTCTACCTGAACCGAGCTTGGTTAGCTTTTTAGTCCGTCAGAACAAGTAAATGTGTTTTCCCCATCCAGCGAATAAGCCATTTGGCGTCTTGGCCAAGAGCGCAGACGAACCTCGGGCTTCAGTGTTAACCACGCTGCGTCCTGTCTTACTGATTGCCTTTTTGCGTTGGCTGCTCGTGTTTCCAGCTAGAATCGCTATCACTGTGGCTCTTTCTAAAAATCTTTGTGTTGAACAGGCTTGTTACAGTCGTTAATCATAGAAAACGAGTGATTTGTTAAAGTCATTTCTGGGAACACAAAAGGACATAGCGACATAGTTAAACTTAGAGGGGACAGATCTGGAATCTAGGAAGTCTCTGGGTCGGAATGATGGAAAGTTCTTGCCGTGAGTCAGAGTGGACTCCTCCAACCTCCCACACGCTCAGAGTCTCCTGAGGTTCTGATGTCGAGCCCTGTCGTAGGAGAGCGTGGTGCTGTGGAATGTGGAATGGCATGTCAGATGGAGAGAGAGTCCTTTAAGAGCCTTAAATAGCTATGAAAATACACCACAACCATTCCCATTGGAATTAAAATTAGAAATGAATATTTTTAGGTGCCCTTGAAGCTTGCTGGGGACTCAGATCATCAAACGTCAGGGATGGTCCAAAGGAAGGGTGTCTGCAAACCTGGGCACCTAGCAGTGTAGACCGACCTCTGTGTTGCATGGAGAAGCCGGGCCTGAGCTGGCGGGGAGGAGGGCCCATCCTGCGCAGGCCTCCCTGGAGCCAGGAGCCTCGGGGCCAGTGCAGCGCCTCCTGGCGGCCGTTCTTCTCATCTCCTGCCCGAACTTCACCCCTTCGCCTGTCACCCACCACCTCCTTCCCTGAGCTCCTCCCCCTCTCAGGGGTGATTTCTACCTCTTTGCTGGCGCCCAGGCAAGTTGTAGAGGAGTTCCCCAGTGTTCTCACGAGACAAAGGTTCTCCTTTGGGAGCCCGGCCCCTGGCTGGGTGACTGGGGTGTCTGGGCCCTGTCGTGCCAAGAACCCCGGGAGCCCTTCCTGAGCTTGGCCGCCGCTTGTGACCAGCGAGCCTCGCGCTCCCTCGATGCTTGCTCTGAAAGGGGCCTGACTACTGCTCTTTGTGCATTTTCTAAAGTAATTCATGCATTTGGGGAAGCAGTGCTCATTGGAAGCAACTTTAAAAACCTATTTCAATTCTTCAGTATTTACCTCCCCCTCAAACTGCCCTCGTGTGGCAGCTGCTGCTGTCCCGGTGCCCCGCATGCGGGTACTCTCCGTGTCGCCACGTGGAGACACTGCAGACGTGTTCGGAAGGCTGGACGGCTCACCCGTACTGTAGGAAATTACCTCCTCCATTGCCTCGTAGAATTAACTGTCAGCAGATGTGTTCATCTGATTGTAGTACTGCCGTTTTATATTAATAATTTGCATACGCTTATCTAACCTGCACTCATGTACAGATTATTACAAGTTTTAAAATGTAACTGATGAATCAGTATTTGATCAATCGTTGTCTTGATTTTTTTAATTAAAAGGTATATTTCTAACCATATTTTATAAAGCCGAGAGAACTGGTTGGGATGAATGTTTATTTTCCTGAAGGTATTTTTAAGATAAAGCTTCATAATGGCGTGTAAACTCTGCATATCTATGTAGTTTGATACATATTGTTGCATTTGAAAAATCATGTGTGTTGTAACTGGTTTTATACAAAATGTTGAATAGAGGAAATTGTATAATTATAATCATATAATTAAAAGTATTAACCAAACAGTCTAGGTTTGTGGTGTCCACTGCTGGCCATTCCGAGTGTGGGGGGAGGAGCTGGAACATGGTGCCCTGGGCCCGGCATGTCCGCTTCCCAGGCCGTGGTGGCAGCCGGGTGTGCGGTCCGGCTCCGGGGGCCGGAAGGCCCAGGTCAGTGGCGTCTTCGATGCCTCTCCCCTTGGTCCTTCTCTGTGCTCTCCAGTCCCTGGTGTTCCTGTCTGGGTTCATCTCCTTGTCTTCTGACCCAGTCAGATTGATGAGGGCCCATCCTAACAGCCTCATTTTAACATCATCACCTTTTAAAGGCCTTGTCTCCCAATACAGTTATATTCTGAGGGATTAGGGATTAGGTTTTCAGTTTAAGAATCAGGGGGAGCCCTGGCCGGTTTGGCTCAGCAGTTAGAGCATTGGCCCGTGGACCCATGAGACCTGGGCTCAATTTCGGCCAACGGCACGTACCTCGGTTGCGGTTCGTCCCCGGCCCTGGTCGAGGTCGCGCAGGAGGCAACCAGGCAATGTGTCTCTCGCATCAATGTTTCTCTTCCTCCCTCCCTCCCTCCTAATCTGTCTAAAGATAAATGGAAAAATATCCTCGGGTGAGGATAGAAAAAAAAAAGAATCTGGGGGATACAGTTCAGTCCCAACAGCTTCCGCGGGATAAGACAGCAGGTGGGGCTCCTGTGAGGAGTCCTGCACGACCTGCCACCAGCTCCAGGATGCCAGGTTTCACTTCCTGGGAACTGAGCCGCTCCCGTCAGGTGCTCAGAGTCTTACAGGTCAGAGACGGCCCTCGTTGTGCCTGCAAGGCCCGGGCTTGAGCTCCACCTCCCGATGGTCTAACCAGGGACGTCATTTAGGGCAGCGGTTCTCAACCTGTGGCTCACGTCCCCTTCAGGGGTCGAACGACCCTTTCACAGGGGTCGCCTAAGACATCACAGTAGCAAAATTAGTTATGAAGTAGCAATGAAAATAATCTGATGGTTGGGGGTCACCACAGCATGAGGAGCTGTATTAAAGGGTGGCGGCATTAGGGAGGGTGAGAACCCCTGTTTTAGGGGCTGTTTACCTGCCTCCCCTCTCCACCCTCTCTTGCAGGGCAGAGCCCTAAAGACCTAATGCCCCGCCCGGCAGAGAGGTGGTGTCTGAGGAGCTTCTGAAGGGGGTGCTGTCCAGCTCCCTGGGAGCTTGGCTTTGACTCGTGCTGGGATTGTCTTCAAAGCACACCCCCAAGGGCCTGGCTTCTCACCATTATTCCAAAGTCCTGCCACCAGAATGGGACTTGCGGGCCCTGCCCTCTGTTGACAGCTACAGCGTCCACCTGCTCTTCCATGGGTCACCATGAGGACAGTGCGGGCATGTGCCCTCCTGGTGACCCCGGAGCTTGCTGTGAGGGGCGGGCGTGGCGAAGGCTGAGGCCTCCCGGCTGCGGATGAAGCCACGAGGTGTGCCCTCCGGGACCAGCCGGGTCTCCCAGGGCCGTGCAGTGGGTGACGAGCCTCAGAGACCCCTGGCCCTGGAGGAACTTGCTTTCCTGTGTTGTTGACCACACTGCCCAGAGCCCACCTACCACATGGACAGTCTGCTAATGCTAAGCCCCTCATATTCCATTTAAGTAAAATGGGAATAAAAAGAATTCTCACCTTACCAGTCAGGCATGACAATTAGATAATACAGGCAACATCCTCAGAACGGTGTCTGGCACATAGCTTTCAATAAGTTAACTTTTCTCTACATTTAAGATTATTTTTTCTAATTGATTAAGGAAAGACTGATGTTGGTCCCTCAGTATCTGATATTTTTGGTACCTGCGGTACAATTTGGTGTGTACTGAAAGAGATAAACTATTTTGACTTGAAGGGAGACATTCACACATGAAGGTGAGTCCCGAGGGGCTTGTTGAGAGCCGGGCAGGGGCCCGCTGATGGACAAGGCCCCCCGAGCCCCCCGCTCACTGAGAGCAGGTTGAGGTGGGAAGAGCCGCCAGTGGCGTGAAATCTAGAACAGGCTCCGCCCCTTGTTCTGTGGCCGTGGCTGCCTCCTGGCCTCACTGTTCATCTGTGAAATGGGACTAGTAAACGCATAGTGTTTGGATTAAATGAGATCAAAGTCGTGAGTGCCTTAGCTCAAGTCGGTGCCAACCTGGGGCGTAACCCCAGGGCTGCGTGCTTCTCCTCAGCCCGTGGGTCCAAGTGCAGCGGTGGGTGCGTGGGAGACGGCGTGGTAGGAGGGAGCCACGTGCTCGCGGCCTGCTCCGCAGTAGGAGCC